TTTAGTTTCCTTGGCTGCCATAACAAATCACTACAAACTTGGTAGCTGAAACCAACAGCAATTTACTCTCTCACAGTTCTGGAGACCAGAAGTCCATATCTGGCAAAGCCTCACTCCCTCTTGGGGCTCCAGGGGAGAACCCATCCCTTGCTGTCTCCTCCAGCCTCTGGTGTTTCAATGGCATTCTTTAACCTGCAGCCACATCCCTCCCACCTATGCCTCCATGGTCACACTGCCTGCTCTGCTTCTGTCTGTCAAATCTCTCCTGTGTGTCTAAGCACACTTGTCAATGGACTTAGGGCCTTACTGAATAATTCAGGATTACCCTTCATCTCGAGATCATTAACTTAATTGCATCTGCAAAAACCCTTTTTCCAAATATTGGAAGCCATCTATCAGGCCAGCATATCAATAAAAAATAACACCACCTATATTCTCCCAGAATGCTGGTAACTGTGCCATCACTAAAATGCAGCAGAAAGCCAAGAGAAAAGAAGACATTTAGTTCAAAAAAAAAAAAAAAAAACAAAAAAACAGAGCATACTGCATAGGAGAGCGGCAAATGGAATTCACAGGAAGGGAATAAAGAAATGTTGCAAAATGACAGTGCACAGCAGGTAAAGAACAACCAGTTTAGATTGTAGCAGCAAGATGACCACAAGAAATATACTACTGGAGAAGGGTTTAACAGTTCTTTTGAAGAGTGTGGAAGGATTCTGGCATGTACAAAACTAAGAAAAAAAAAAAAGCAAGTGATAACTCAAGAAAATAAACATTGTCAGAAAGCTGAAGGAAGTAAATATTATTGTATACTATTTTGCTCAGCAGTGAACAATATTCACAATGAATACTAGTATTTAATCTAGCATAAGATATTTTAATATATTATGTTTGAAGGACAGAATGTGGAGAGGTATGAGAAAAACCAATTTTATCTTCCATAAAAGACAGTATCTAGTATTGATAAAGAAATAGTGTAAATATTATTTAAGATATGGAGATAAATACTAGAAGAAAGAACTAAGAGTTGCCAAAGTGTAAAGAACAATGGAAAAGGGCAGTGGTTATTTTATTTAATCATAAGCTCACTTTTCATACTGTGCTCCTATTGATTTGATAACAGAATTTTAAAATTCTAATGCAGAAAAGATTCTAAGAAAAATGACTTGTTCGGGCCCTATCACAGTTAAAAAACATTTGTCAAAATGTCTGTTTCTTATATCTTGAAGAAATATGAAATTTCTATAAACATTCTTAAAAAAAAAAAAAAAGCATTCTTAAAATAAATTCCCAAGTCATGTGTACATTAGGAGAAAACAAAACCAAACAAAACACTAAAACCACTTCTAAAGTATGGTCACCTATAATGGGCTCAACCTACATAACCTATGTAATATTATGATTATTTTATCCAGATTTACTTTAATAGAAAACTCCTGCCTCTTTTGATTATTGAATATAAAACTTTAACATCAAAACAATAACACATATAACTGGGAAAAAGAATTGAAGTCATTAAAATGAAGGTGTTTCCGAATTGGATTCCTGATAGACAGCTGTCAATGAATCCAGTTTATATGTGGGTGGCCTCTAATTTTAGAGACTTCACAATATTAGGAATATTGAATTTAAAAATATCTGTGCTCTGAATATCACTGCAGCCCAGGGAAGGGACAACAATCAGATTCCTTTCGTTCCATTCTGTGATGAGAGAAGGAACATCTATTAGGAATACAATAGCTATGGTGCTAGGACAAGGTTAAATATAAGAAAAAAATGGCAAATGTTATTTTCTACTTACTTAATATCCTCCTTAATCCAGTTCATTCAATGATTAATTTCTAAATAGCACGTTGGCACACCAAATCTAGGCTCACCTTTGCCACATTGCCTTTCCTTGAACTGCCTTAAAAGTTCACCTATTTCAAGTAACATATATAGATATAATCATCTATGCTCTAAATAAATAGTAGCAGTTACACTGAAATTCCCCCCTACGCAGGGGTAGCTGTTTAATTTACATTGTTAGAACTGGTGTAACTGATGCTAACGTGTACTCGGCATATTAATTTAGAATATGCCCACTATCAAGTTAATCTTGCTTACTTACTTTACTTGAAGTCATTTGTTCATCTTAATTGTAAGACTTTAAAGGACACAAAGATAGCACCTGGTAGAAACCGGCACTTAATAAATATGTTTGATATCAATAACTAATCCAATCTCAAATAATATAGTACTTTCATAGTTATTCAGATGCAAACTCAAGCAAAATTTTTTAAAAAGGAGTCTGTTTTTCCGTAAATATGAAATCAAAAAGAAAACACACATTTTTAAAAGAAAGAAATGTGTCAGGGTATTGGTGGCATGGGACAAGGAGTTCTAGAAACAAATTACTTTAAGAGCAAAACCACTTTGGCTTAAGTCTCAAGCAATTTTTGACCTTGTCCCAGATTTATAAATACCGTGATCACTGAAGTAGAAAAAGAGAAAGTCAAGGGCAAGTGCAAATGGTAAAAAACAACCAAAAAAACAACAACCACCAAAAAAACAATGCCAGTGGAAGGAATCCCTTGCACATTTTCATAACTCATGAAAGAAATAAGCCCAAAGCAAAATTATGTGCCTCTATAAAATGTTATTTTGAAACCAACTGGAAAAAAAAAATAAGTCTTTTCATCTTCCCACTAGTTCTTTCCAATCCAATGCTGCTGAATCTTTCTGTAACTCTTACATTAAAATGTTACTATTGAGAATACAGCCTATTAAGGCTTTTGAAGTAAAAAGTATAAATCCCCAGAGCGTTTATTTACAAGTACTTCTGATAGACATTTTAAAATAGCAGCACTAGAGAGAACTATTATTATACAAATATACTATTTGAGTCCTTTGATATTCAAAAATGAGACAAATAGTTTCAAAAACTTCAGCCAAAGTTAGGTAAAATTCAACTTAAACAAGAAACTTAAAAAAATGCTCCAACCCTAGGCTAGCATAAAATTCCTAAATGCTCTTCCTGCCTGGGTTTCAATTATCTTCCCAAAACACAAACAAAAAATTTATGACAGAAACTCTCATTTCCCGACTGATTAAAAGTACCTTTGGTTTTGCCAACAGAAATCAAGCCATGAAAATACAACTGCATACTTTGCTTTTTTAAAACAATGACAACAATAGAAACTCACCCCTTATAAAGTATATTTCAAAACCTTTCACCTGGTACAGTGAAAAGAAACTACTGGCCGGGCGCCATGGCGCACACCTGTAATCCTAGCACTTTGGAAGGCCGAGGTGGGCGGATCACTTGAGGTCAAGTTCAAGACCAGCCTGGTCAACATGGTAAAACCTCATCTCTACTAAAAATACAAAAATTAGCTAAGGGTGGTGGCGTGCACCTGTAGTCCCAGCTACTTGGGAGGAAGCAGGAGAATCTCTTGAACCCAGGAGGCAGAAGTTGCAGTGAGCTGAGATTGTGCCACTGCACTCCAGCCTGGGCGAAGAAGGGAGACTCCATTTAAAAAAAAAAAAAAGAGGGCCGGGCGCGGTGGCTCAAGCCTGTAATCCCAGCACTTTGGGAGGCCGAGGCGGGTGGATCACAAGGTCAAGAGATCGAGACCATCCTGGTCAACATGGTGAAACCCCGTCTCTAGTAAAAATACAAAAAATTAGCTGGGCATGGTGGCGCGTGCCTGTAATCCCAGCTACTCAGGAGGCTGAGGCAGGAGAATTGCCTGAGCCCAGGAGGCGGAGGTTGCGGTGAGCTGAGATCGCGCCATTGCACTCCAGCCTGGGTAACAAGAGCGAAACTACGTCTCAAGAAGAAGAAGAAAGAAGAAGAAAGAAGAAGAAGAAAGAAGAAAGAAGAAAGAAGAAAGAAGAAAGAAGAAAGAAGAGGAAGAGGAAGAGGAAGAGGAGGAAGAGGAAGAGGAAGAAGAGGAAGAGGAAGAGGAGGAAGAAGAGGAGGAAGAGGAGGAGGAAGAAGAGGAAGAAGAGGAGGAGGAGGAGGAAGAGGAGGAGGAGGAGAGGTAATGAGGATAGTTGTAGGTCTTATGATGCAGCAGCGGTCTTGAAGAGTGACAGAGCTTAGTAGTAAGGATTCTTCCGGTACGGAATGCGGCAGAGCTGATCTGCAAGCTCATTAGTAGTCATACGTCGTCGTAGGCATAGTATTGAGGAAGTCCATATTCTTCTTCTTCATCCTCGTTCGAGGACGAATGCTTCTTCTTGCTCTTTTCCCGTCTTCTCCTTCCTTCTTCTTCTTCTTCTTCTTCTTCTTCTTCTTCTTCTTCTTCCTCCTCCTCTTCTTCCTCCTCCTCCTCTTCCTCCTCCTCTTCTTCCTCCTCCTCTTCTTCCTCCTCCTCTTCCTCCTCCTCTTCCTCCTCCTCCTCTTCCTCCTCTTCCTCCTTTTTTTTTTTGTGATTGCTTTTTTTACATTTTTTATTTTGTTCTTGTTTTTTTTTCTTTTTTCTTTTCTTATTATGTCTTTTTCTTCTTATTCGTCTCCTCTTCCTCCTCATCCTGCCGTCCTCGCCTCCTCCTCTCCTACCTCCCCGAAACTACTGAGGTCCACAGGCTAAAGAGCTGGAGAAGCAAAGTTATCATGCCAAAGGTCGGTCACAGAGAGTATTTATGCTCTTAATCTTGCAACCAGTCAAACATCACTAAAGATGCCTCCATGCAAGAATGACTTTCTACCATCTCTGACTCCTCATATTTTACAGGTTACACACTATCACAATTACTTCTATGGGTAAAAGTCTGAAATTAAAGCTGTGGCCCACATAGGCTTCTATTCTCCAAAATGAGCAAAATGGCAGGATTTCAGATAGGATAGATGCAAGCTCTATCTCTAAAGGTTGTGGGCAGGGAGGAATTTTAATAAAATCTGGGGGGGTAAAAAAAAAAACCCTCTGTAATTCTATAGTCTGCTTTTCCATCTCAAGACTCTTTAGTCTTAGAGCTGAAAGTCTGATACATTGAATACTAAATAAAAGTTTTACCTGTTTGACTTTTGGTTTCTTCTTGCTTGAGGTAGTCTCATTTGTACTTTCATCCATTCCTCTCAAAACACTGATAAAATCTTTCTTGGAAACAGTTGATATCAACTTAGTTCGCTTTCTAATAGAGCTTCCAGCTTCTTTAACCTTCTCATCAACGTTCTTTTGATGTTTCTGAACAGCATTAAATAATTGCACCACACCCCTATAGAATATAAAATGACCAGAACAATGTAGTTAAATAATTACATGAGATACAAACTCTGATAGGAAAAATGTATTTTCACTGTCTAGAAAAGAAGCAAGCATTTATCAAGTACTCAAATTAAAGAGCTGGATAAATGGTTAAATATATCTGATAAATACATCTGAAAACTGAATATACAATTCAATGAATGAATATAAGTTTCTGAACAAATAACAAATGTGGATTGGTACATAACTTTGTGCTTGACTCCAGAAAAGATATTTCTGGATCTCAATTTTATCTGTAAATTGGAAAAATAATACCTGAGTAGCTTAAAAGATATTCAGCTATGTTATCTGCAACTCTTGTGTCATTAAACTATTTTAAAATCCTACTTTATAAAATACTTATTTTTAAAACTATGTTCTGTATTTATTTGAATTCAGTCAAACATAAATTCTGAAAATTAAGACCGGCAGGAGCCACAAGCCACAATGGCTAGTGAGCACTTGAAATGTGACTGGTCTGAACTCCCATGTGCTATAAATGAAAATACACACCAGATTTCAAAGACTCAGTATGAAAAGCAGAATCCTTAAATCTCATTAATAACTGCTTCATACTGATATGATAACTATTTGGAATATAGAGTTAAATATTGAAATTAATTTCACCTCTTTCATTTTACATTTCTCATTGTGTCAACAAGAACATTTTAAACTACATATTAAATTACGAATGAATATAGTTCACATGCATTTCTCCTGGACAGCACTGATTTAGACTGTTAAGATCCCTTCCAGGTCTAAAATTCTGCAGTCTATGAACTTTCTTTCTCTAATAATTTTATTGGAAAAGGCAACCTTCCAGTAATTATTGGGCCTTCAGCATCCCTGCATATGCTTGCTGGATTTTTCAAGAATGAATGCACCTGACTGCTCTTTATCCAGACCATTTCTCAGGGCTGTTTGTAGAAAGTGACCTTGAGGAATGAAGTAATGTCTCCCCTAGACAAAGAGCAGGCTAGTTACCAATCAGTATAAAAGTGATAGATTCCCAAGCACAGTGTTCCAACTCTTATAACACAACATACTGCACATGCAGGCATCCATCTGGGACACCAGCACTCCCTCTGTGGGACACAGGAAACAGTGGGAATGTGAAGCTCTGCTACTGCTTTTGCCATGAGTAATAAAGTCCTTTGTCTTTGACCCAAAGTGTCTTGTCTTCTATGAGCGTCCAGGATAAACTTTCACAGCCTAGCTTATAAACTTACAAGGGGAGTAAAATTCCAGACCCTTCACAGCAGTGACTGGACTAGGGTGAGGAAAGGGAGGTGCCCAGGACATAAAATTTAAGGAGGCAGTCACTCTCATGTACTGATCCTGTACTTCTCTAAGTTCTATACATGTATCCACTTAACTATCAGAGAAACCCTATAGGCTAGGTATAGTATACTTATTCACAGATAAACTGAGAGAAAAAGAAATTAAGTAGCATGCCCAGAGATACACTGCTAGTAAGAGCCAGTGCTAGGATTTGAACCTAGCAGTCTGGCCCTATGACTCATGTCCTTATTCACCACACCATGCTATCACACTGTGTAATATCTAGATGGATTAGAAAATGACCAAAATAACTTAGGTAACAGGAATTTAAAAGTAATTCTGCCAAGTACAACTGCTACATTCTTTAGTAGCAGCTCAAATGTTATCTCCTCTGTAATGCCTTCTCAAACTCTCCCAGACAATCTTCTGCTCTATGTTCCCAACACACAGGCATAATTCTATCCTCAAAGAGACTGTAATTCTACAGATGACCAGGCAAAGACCACCCAGCAGCCACCATCCCCTATTTATCTTTGGACACAGAGGGCAATGAGTAAATGTTTGGTGCCAACGGTTAAATAAGCGGAGTAAAAAGATAGCATGAAGTAGCTATAATGTGTAATATATTATGTCATAAATATAATGCAAGATAAAAATCATCGAGAGCCATAAATTTAGACAGGCATCATAAGAGAAATGCAGTAAGAGGTCTTATTACACAGTTCTCGCGACTATAAAAACAAGATGATCCAAAATAGGTTCATACCAAATATACACTTAGCACATTAGATTCTTGCCTCACGAGACCTGCAAAATCTTTGGTTTAACTCAGTGTTAAACAGGCAAGCTTAGATATTTATCACTTGGCTCTAAGAAGGCTGAGGTTAAGAATCAAATCTGGTCAAAAATAGAATCGTAACTAAGCTTTAGTACACTTATTTTTTAAAGGACAAAAACACTGCCTTACCTCGTTGCAATTCTCTGCAGATTTCTCTCTGTCTCCTTGTCTTGGACAACATCTGGCTTTACTCTGCACATCATTTCCCACTCCATCCTCTTATCACGCTGTGTTATAAATATTGTTATGTGAAAGAATATTAGATATTTCTGAAAGTGCAGCAAACATCGGTATGATACTCTGTGAAAGGGTGAAGGTAATAAATCATTCTGGCTTACTTTGTCATTGGGACTTTAAAAAAAACACCATTTTCGGGGTTCAGCTTCAAGAGCCTGTGGTTAGCACTCAGCGTGTCATACGAGAGGCACAAAGTGAGTTTCTGTCAGGCCTCTGACAGCAGGGCCTGGAGAGCTGCCAGCATATTTGGCCAGGCAGTACAAGACAGGGTATGAGGGAGCCACAGGCCTGCTCTGCCATCGGCAGACCATCCGAGGAAAGCATAAAGAAGATTCCAAACTACACTCTTTGGAAATTGTAAGTTCATCTTTACTTTCAGAAAATGACTTCCTCAGTCATCAGAATTATTATTAGGAAATTGTATCACTTTTAAAAGAACAGCATCATATCCAGATACCTATACGATGACTAGTATTTCTTTGCACAAGATCATTTAAATCCATTTCTCTTCTCATAGCATATCTGACCAGTATTCTTGCCATATATGGCATATCAGTTATAAACTGTAGCAAACTGTACAGAAGCAGAAGGGGAGGTGGGAAATAAGAAAATCCCATGGATAACATAATTTAGTTTGAACTTGTCTTTAAGTAGTATCCTGGTCCCAGGAATCTGATTTGATATATTGCTTGTTCATGTCTCCTTTTTAGGCCAACATTGAATGAAATATCAAATATAATGATATGATGAATTAATCACCAAGAAGCTGGCAAGCATCAAAAGCATCAAAGCCAGTAATAAGGACATTTTTATTAAAATTTCTCTTTTTATCTATTTATTTTTTCTACTAATCTATTTCTCATTTTTTATTAACGAAAATGTCTAATCACAGTAAAACAAAATTCTTGCTCTCACTATAAAGATTAGCCTGATAGCTTTTTAAAGAAATAGATTCGTCTTCAAATCAGACAATTAATTTTAGTGGTCATGAAATTCACTGTCAGATTATGACAGAATTTTTTTTTAAATCTTCCTTTTAAGTTTGAAACAGTCCATTTTAAATTATATTCAGTACTCAAAGGATAATAGGTATGCTTAATCCTGAAGCACTTTTAACTCTGAAATTTATTTTTGTATTTATGATTAGAAATAAGTAGCTGATACACTAGAAAACTTAATGGTTAACATTAGGAAATGATAATTTACATATACTCTTCTAAGAAATATACACCAAAAACATTTGTAGCTGCTGTGTCTTTTTCTGGTATGAACACATGCATGTTCACACATTATGGAGCCAGTATCATCTCTAGCACTCAAAGATTTGGCCTAGAGCAGAGTTACAGACTCATTCCTCTTGGCTTCAAAGTGTTTTTACCCTCACTAGAACTCTGGGACCAGAGGAAATCAAAGATTCTGATATTGTTGAAGCCTCTTCTAGCATTTGCCAGATAATGAACAAAGATTCAAATTTTCAGTTGAAAAGCTATCTGTAAGATTCAAAGACAAAACGTATCTTAAATAAAACACAATGAGAATACTGAATTAATAACAGTATGCTGTGTTTCTATGAGCAACGCTTAAAAATTTCCATCTTTCACACAGAGCAACCAGAATTAAGAACAAAGAAAACATTCATCTTGAAACAAGAAAAGGAGACGGTAAACATAAAAGAAAATATATGCCTATTCAAACCTATTTTTCTTTCATTTTACCTATGAAATAACTTTAGGAATCAGTACTTCCATGCTGCCAGTACATTTGTAGAAAATTATTTTCTTTCATTAAAAAATAATGTGTGTGTGTGTGTGTGTGTGTGTGTGTGTGTGTGTTTTTTTTTTTTGAGACAGAATTTCGCTCTTGTTACCCAGGCTGGAGTGCAATGGCACGATCTCGGCTCACCGTAACCTCCACCTCCTGGGTTCATGCAATTCTCCTGCCTCAGCCTTCTGAGTAGTTGGGATTACAGGCACGCGCCGCCACGCCCAGCTAATTTTTTGTATTTTTAGTAGAGATGGGGTTTCACCATGTTGACCAGGATGGTCTCAATCTCTTGACCTTGTGATCCACCCACCTTGGCCTCCCAAAGTGCTGGGATTACAGGTGTGAGCCACTATGCTCGGCCTAATAATGTGTGTTTTAGTAACCAAGTATTTTAGACACAGATCATCAAGTACAGTGATATGAAAACCTTATTTTTAGTTCTTATAATATACGAGAAATTTATGTCCAACTTTTGGCCTTTAATTAATAGATTATATCTAGTCTAATGTCTATCACCCGTAGTTCAACAAAAGCATAATGAATTCAAATTTATCCAACACTGATTTGTATCTAACATTGAAATAATCAGTTTTCAGAACTGCAACCAATCCTTGAGTTGTGACATCTTCGCAGATTCCTATTATAAAGTAAGTTTTGGCAAAAAGTAACTAACATGCTTCTTAGTTCAAAACCTAATAAAGTCGGCATACAGACAGCTAAAACAAATAAAATAGGCTCAGGAATCACTGCCATGTGTATAATTCTTGATTTTAAAAACTGGCTGGGTACGGTGGCTCACACCTGTAATCCCAGCACTTTGGGAGGCCAAGGTGGGTGGATCACCTGAGGTCAGGAGTTCGAGACCAGCCTGGCCAACATGGTGAAATCCCGTCTCTATTTAAAAAAAAAAAAAAAAATCAAAAAGTATTTGTTTCCTCAGCATTTACATTTCCATTACTTTGCCTTTGCCTAGATGATTAAAACATGAACATGCTCAATGGAGTAATTTAGACTAAATTCCTAAACATAACCTTAGTTATCCACCTTCACATAAAAAGCAAGTTAAAAACTGGAATGGTAGTTGGACAAACACTGCAAGAGTTCAGTCAAGATAACAACCAGCCTAGACAAACAATCTAATCTGCAAGACGACTGGTGGAACACACCTGTTTTATTTTCTCTTGTCTTTCTTGCTTTAACTTTTCTTTTTCCTTTTCCAGCTTCTTATTTTTGACCAGAATAGAAGGTTTACTTTCAGGAGTTTTCTTGTTGAGGACTTTAGCCATGGCATCTGCCCAGCCCGTATTGGTCCCAATATTTGATTCTGCGTCATCTTCATTTTCTTCGTCATGAGGCTCAGCATCACCCTCATTGTCAGCTTCTATTGCTTCCTCATCAGAATGAAAGTAGTCATATTCTGATCCACAGCTTCCTATTATAGATCCTCCTACTGTAGAACCTAAGAGTAAAACCAAATTAAACTTTAATATCCTAGGCAGAGGTTGCCAAACCCCTGGAACCCTTCCTGGAGCTCTGCCCATCCCCATTTTTGCAAGGGGGGGACTTTTCTGAGTCCCACAGCTACAGTAATGATGAAAAGCAATAGAACCATCTATCCCATTGTTATTAGCTCCTAGAGACCTAGCCCAGCCATAGACAGGGGATGTCACAGCAGCTTCAAAACCCAGGACCCAGCCAGGCATGGTGGCTCACGCCTGTAATCCCAGCACTTTGGGAGGCCAAGGCAGGCAGATCACGAGGTAAGGAGATCAAGACCATCCTGGCCAACATGGTGAAACTTGTCTCTACTGAAAATACAAAAATTAGCTGGATGTGGTGGCGCGCGCCTGTAGCCTCAGCTACTCGGGGAGACTGAGGCAAGAAACTGCTTGAACTCAGGAGGCAGAGGTTGCAGTGAGCCAGGACCGTGCCACTGCACTCCAGCCTAGTGACAGGACAAAACAAACAAACAAACAAACCGAAAACCTCAGGACCCAGGCAGCAGAAACAAATTCAATAGCCTCTGCCATGTCCCTACTGCCAAAGTGGTGACAGATGCTGACATGGAGTCAGTGCAAGGTGTGTTCAAGTACACGAACCTTAATTGCATCACTAAACTAATGGAAGAGGCTAATGAAGACTATTAAAGTAACAGAAGACTTTAATAAGAAAATGGTACAGCATTACCAGAATAAATCTTCTAAGGGATTTGTCCCAGATATTTAAAATTCTGAATTTGTGTGCAGAATAAAAGGCCTAAAACTAAAAATTAGCCTCATGTGAAAGAATCTGCATATAACATTAGAAAATTGGGCATTTTAACATTTTTGAAAAAAAATTATTTAATGATGTGCCCAACATACTAGATTCAACTATAGTGCTGAGTGACTGAATGAAAATACCAAGTTTTGAGTTGAAGATACAAACGTCTAAGTGTACCTTTGACTTTTATCATACAGAGCCACCAAAAAAAGCACCGATAGGTTACCAGCAAACTATCATCATTTAAAATTCAAATGGATGAGAAGGATTATTAGAAACAATAAATAGTCCAGAAAGTGGCTTGGCTCGCAAATCAACCTGCTGAGCAGCTCTGGGTAATTTAAACTTTTCACGCTTTCAACTTCTTAAATGAAGTGCACTTTAACAATGAGAGCGCAAGCACCCAGCATAGTATGAATGCATCTCTATGATCCAGAGCTTCTGGAAAGCTTCTGTTCTTCAGAAACCTAGAGAACTTATTAGGAAATACTTCGAAGAAGACAATCTTAGTAACTTGAGTGTTTTTTAATTAGCAGAAGAGGAGGTAACAAAAAAGGCTGAGAAGTCAACAAAAAAGAAAACTCAGTAATATACAAACAGCTGCCATTTAGCAGTGATGACTTTGGATAAATAATTGTGCTTTCTTTGGATGACTCCAGAAATAGTTAAATTTCAAAAGATTCTTATGGAAAATGCCATTACCTGAAACTTTTCCTACCAAAGTACCTCTACAAAACAATATTAGTAGTTTAAGTATTTTTTTTAAATATTAAGATAAAATATTATATAAAGAAACCCTAGAAGAAAAAGATCAAGGCATAAGCAGCTTTCCTGCTGCTCCTTACTTTACTCAATTCTGTTCCTCCCACCCAAATCAGAACCTTCACTTAAATGCAGAGGATTACAAAGAACTCCATATGCTAAAGGCACTGCAGCATTTCAGTGAGGCTTCTCTGGGTCCATTTGCCCTTACCAAAGCCAAGCATCAGAACCATAACTGCTGCTTCTACCGTCTATTGATTGGGTCTTATTATTGCTTCAAAATTACCTATTTTCAACTCTGAGGCTCAGCGTCTTCTTTAAATAATTTCAAGAAAATGTTCATAATTTGCCTTTAACATCCTCTCAGCCGTTTGTATCAGCTATTGCTGTGAGCAAGTAAATGGAAGAGAGTCCACAGTCAGCTGTAACCTTCAGAGTGATCCCCTCTACTCTCTTGACTTTTACCCATGAGAAGACCTGACTTTTAGCACTGATTATAATACTTGCAATTTGGGCATTATTTTTGCATGTTTATTTTTTCAGTGCTGAAAATTCATAAAACAAAAATGATGAAAACTATTAATAGATTTCAAGTAAAAATTTATAACAAATTAGAAAGCAGCAAGTAAAAACATGCCTAAATAAAAATGAACCTCGAGCATGAGTAAAAACAAAGTATCTTCAAAAATTTAACTGAACATTACATAAAAAGGAAAATGACATTTCACATTTTTGAAAGCATAAAACAAAGTGCTAACAGTATAAAAGAAAATGTTAAAAACAAGAAATCACTTGCAATTCTGTCACGCTAATAGAGCTGCATATTTCTTAATAAAGAGAAAAAAATTAATGAAAATATTTAATTTGAATCTTTTTCTGTATCTTATACACTGGGCCAATTTAAGAAGCCTAAACACATTTGTGAGTCTAGGTTTTAACATACAAATATAGTTGATATATAATAAAGAACTTTATTATTGCTCATAACACTAAAAACAAAAGGTATCTGAATTAAAAGCTGGCAGCACTATTAACCAATTCAATAAAAGACTTCATGTTTTATTCCAGGGCCACAAAACTTTTCCCCAAGAAGCATCTCCAAAGGACCAGTGTGCCCTGGAAAGTATATGGAAATCAAGTTTTGGGGAATATAGTTAGCTGCAAAATATATTATTTTAATACTACATATGTTTTACTCTTCAGAGTCAGTAGTGTTACACAGACACTAATACAAAATAAACAATTCTTAGAAAACGTGCTTCCTATAATAAGTAAATGTAAAGAGGCAAGATGGCCTAAAAGTTTGGGTCAATAAAAACTATCATGGTGATTAAAAGCAGAAAGATCTTGACTAGCTTCTGGTAGCATGTCAAAACTGCAACACTGACATCTAGTGTTTCATCCTGATGTATTCACACACAAATTGCTGCAGATTTCATGTTTTTCAATGGTACTATAAAGGCAACCAAAGCAAGCCAAAACACTTTCTGATTGTGTAACCCACTCCAATTCTCCACTTCAAAACCATGGCTATTTTTCTTTGGTGCTTTCCTTATCCAGCTTGACTACAACATGCGTAATAGGAATACAGAATTAAATCCATGAAAAGTTTATAGCACCATTTTATAGAAACCCGCACTCACCCCACCAATTAAAAAAAAAATCCAGAAGAATTCCTTTAAGTCGTGGTTTTTAATTTATTATTATTATTTTTTGAGATGGAGTTTTGCTGTTGCCCAGGCTGGAGTGCAGTGGCCTGATCTCGAATCACTGCAACCTCCACTCCCAGTTTCAAGAAATCCTCCTACCTCAGCCTCCCCAGTAATGGAGACTACAGGTGCGTGTCACCACACCCAGCTTATTTTTGTATTTTTTAATAGAGACGGGGTTTCACCATATTGGCCAGGCTGGTCTCAAACTCCTGACCTCATGATCTGCCCGCCTTGGCCTCCCAAAGTGCTGGGATTACAGGCATGAGATACCCCGCCAGCCTATTTTATTATTTTCTTAAAGAATCTCTATCTCAGAGGTTTTTTATCAGGCATTCATTGCCAATGCAAATGATGACATTCAGTATAAACAAATTAAAAACTGCAAAGTAATTCAGTCTCTCAGCATACTAAAAAAAAAAACAGGATTTACTTCTAGGATACCAAAGATTATCATTATGCAAATCAGAAAATAGAATTGGCTCAAAATATTATTATATCCTAGTTAAATGAGATTTTTAAAAATTTTCTACTCACCGATGTGTAACAGCAGAAGCAGATATATCCAGGTGTCTAAGGGCCTAGATAGAAATCACTAAATGAAAAACGCCTTTGAAGTCCTGTGTGTTGCCTTAAACATTAATTTTGCATTCTACTATAAAAATCTGGAAATTAAAGGTCTACAAAGGATGCTTACTGAGGTAATGACTAAAAGTTCCAATCACGGCGGGATTCTCTATCAAAGCTGCTCAGTAGCCACAGCCACAAGAGGCTATTGAGCACTTCAAATGCGGCCAGCACAACTGAAGAACTGAATTTTTATTTTCTTGAGTTACCTTAGATTTAAACCACATGGGGCTAGAGGCTACCTTACTGAACAGAGCAGGGCTAAACCTCTGACGTACTGAGGTAGTCATAAGGCATTTCTCATCTCCTGCTGCCTTTTCCCCCAAACTTCCAGCTCCCTTTCAAACCTGCCATCTGTTCCCTGACCAGAGATACAAATGGTGAGCTGCTGGAGGGAAAGTGAGCTGTAAGGTCTGACCGAGCAGTGAACTGCATGGTGACCCTCATTAACCACACAACCACCTCGGGAGGCCTTCCAGAACTAGAAAACCTGAAATGCCGTAAGACCACGGAAAGAGGAAGGAGGAAGGAATGATCAATCCCTGCGGTGCCTACTTAACTCTGAGACATTCTCTGTAGTTTCTTACTCTGTTCCAGCCTCAACTGACAAGGCCTTTGGACTTCCTAACTGACCTTGGCCAACACCCTACAACCACACCCTATGAGGCTCTCCCAGCTTGGCCACACCCTATAACCCCCTCCCAGCTTGGCCAACCTCAAGACTCCACACCCTACAGACCCCCTTCCAGCTTGCAAAAAACCGCCCTAAACTTATGAACTTTCCACTGCCTCCTCCACAACCTTTAAAACCAACTCCTATCCCACAGCCCTTTTGCCCTTTTTTCAGCGTCAGCCTGCCTGCACCCAGGTAAATAAACAGCCTTGTTGCTCACACAAAGCCTGTTTGCGGGGGTTCTTCATTCAATGTGCGCATTTTAATATGAGCCATTTTCCTTGGTCTGTGATAAAGTTTTAAGAAGACTCACAGTCCCTCAACATTCACTGAGCACTCATGTGTGATGGGCAAAAAAGGACAAAGGAAAAATCTAAATCTAGATTTCTCTCCTTGAGGAACTCAGGAGTTTAGTAGGGTGGATAA